ATGTGAGGAAGTAATAAATTACTTCCTTGTTGACGAAAAAAAGTCTGTCTCCAAATTAAACATGACATACCCTTTTTGAGTCATAGAGTAACCCATAAAAACAGATGGGACAACTCGAGAAGAAAATTATCTTTACAAGACGTTTGAGTTGTATATCCCAAACAACCAAGACCTTCAAAAGAGAAAAAAATTGTTTTTTACTGTAGAACATTTGAAAAGGACTTTTCCATTGTAAAACTGCAGAAGGTAGCCTGTTGATGATGACAAGCGGTTTTAACACATTCCCCTCAAAACTTCATTGGAACGTTTAACCGAAACTCAAGGCTCGAGCCCTAACAAGTTTTTATGTTTTCTTTCAGCCACCTCGTTTTATTGGGGTCTACGAATACAGACTTTGATGCAAGACTCCTAAAGAGGTAAAAAAACTATGATCCTTCATTACTAAAAAAACTCTGAGCCATTACCACTTCGGATGGTTTTCAAAGAATAATGATGGTTTTTAACAAGCTGAAAAAATTGTTTAAGGTACAAAATATTGTCACTCTTAAGTCGAAGAATAAATCCAAGTCATTCTGCTGTAGTCATCAACTATGGTTAGAAAAAATCTATGCCCACGATGTGTAGGTATATATATGGACCCTATAATCTAAATGAATCAATTCAAAAAGTTTAGTGGATCTAGAAGTGCTATTAGGAAAAGGTAGTCTAGGTTGTTTAGCAATGACAATTATGAATTTTCACACAACTCAATTGATCAGAATGAATGAAAGATTTTTTTAACTTGGTGATACTTGCATGACCCAACCGAGCATGCCACAAATCAACATCATCAACAGGAAAAATCATACATTCATCAGTATTGGAAAAGAACAATGAACATTGTTTGACATAGAGGAAGTTTTTGAAGACAACCAGATAACTTGAAGTGTTGAAAAAGTACAAACCATGTGACTCTTACCCACCTCACTCTCCCAGTGTAGAGATCCTAAAGAATGCAAAAGTCAGGATAAAACTTACTGAACGATTAAACTTACGCGTAAGTTTGAAAGAAGATTATGCGAAAACTGAGGTACATAAGCACATTGGGGATGACATATTCAGAATTGAAAGGAAAAGATCCAGTATGCGAAATCTGGTTTTTTTACCATTTGTTAGAGAGACAAAAGTGACTCCGAAGCACATGAAATTGGAGACTTAAGATTATAGAATTCAGATAACATATGATTTGTTGCGCCTGTATCAAGGATACACCAAACATCATTCTTTTTAGCCACAAAACAATCAGAAACCATACCTACTAAATTTGCTGTTGTCTCCACGGATGGACCTTTGTTAAGCAGTTCAAGAATCTGACTATATTGCTCACGTGTGAACCCGGATGCCATTGTAACCGTCTAAGGATCTGCCACTCTCACTTCTGACTTGATCCCTTTTCAGGTTTATTAACCACCATAGCTGCTTGTGAACCCTTCCTTCTCGTGAATTTGAAATCTGGAGGAAACCCGTGAAGACGATAAGAATTTTCTCCTTTGTGACCTTTAATATGACAATGGTCACAAAACCAGTAAAGAGATGACCTCCTGATTGCGTGAGACATTCGAATACATTGCTGCAGATTCAATCAGAGGTGTCAGTCCAGTCAGCTGAAACCTATGCAATTCCTCCTATGTTATCATCGAGTTACGCCTGATTTACTGTTGGTAGAGGTTGCATCAGTAAAATTTGGCTCCTCACAGCTACATAGGTTTCATTCAAACCCATAAGAAACTGGAATAATCTTTGTTGTGTAACGTTCTGATTTTTTTGTGAACCCTCACACCACAAGAGAGAAAAGGCACTAACGAACCATACTCATCCCAAAGCACTTTAGTCGGTAAAATAAGATAAAACAGTTTACATCGCAATCTCACCTTGCAAAAAAATATTCTCCAGCCATCCACTTTGTTGAATCGCTCTCTTAGATCTTCCCACACTTGCGCCGCCGTAGATGCAAACACGATCCCTGCCGATAAATCTTCGCTAACCGTTATTTAATATCCAGGATAAAATAATGTGTTACAACGCTCCCATGCGAATGCAGACCTCATCTAACTCTTCTTTTTGTAATCTCCATCACAAATCCTAGTTTATTTTTGGCTAACAACGCTATCATTAAATTACATACAAGACCGATAAACTGCTTGCTAACCAACCATTATAACAGAAAAACTAACTAGTCTACTACTTTCACAATTTAACAGTCGAGATATATATTTTAACTGCTTACCTTCATTACCGTACTGTTAATTATAATTTGCTTCCAGCATTTTCATACAACTACACAAGTAGAAATCAAATTACCCTGAAAATTTGAATCATTTTTCATATATGGAAGGAATAACAAATGTGAATTTCCTTATTTTAGATATTTTTTCCCTTTTATGTAATTCTTTTGGAATCACTAAGGTGTGTTTGTTTTTGTAGAGGTAAAAGTCTGCAGTCTGCGACCACATCTGCGGCATCTGCAAAACTACACAAGTAGAAATCAAATTACCCTGAAAATTTGAATCATTTTTCATATATGGGAAGGAATAACAAATGTGAAATTTCCTTATTTAGATATTTTTTCCCTTTTATGTAATTCTTTTGGAACACTAAGGTGTGTTTGTTTTTGTAGAGTAAAAGTCTGCAGTCTGCACCACATCTGCAGGCATCTGCAGCAGAAGAGGTGGAACAAAGTCTGCAGTCTGCAAGAAGAAGACTGTTTGTTTTAACGTCTGCAGACTGCTAAAATAAACTGAAATAAATAAACTGATTTTTTAAACTATACTCAAATAACCATTTTGCTATTAATTTTTAAAAATTATAAAATGTCATTAAATTTAATGAATTATTACAAAATAGTCACTATAATGCAATAAATTATAAAAGTTCGATAATAATAATATTTTTATAGTATTTAGATAAATTATTAATAATTTTATAATCTTTTAATAAATTTAATAAATATTTTATAATTTTTTAAACTTTATTGACGAAAATGACCATTTGTATATAACTCAACGATATCTAATATACTTTATTTGAAAAATATATTAAATAAATATTATACGAATTTTATTATTAAATTATTACATCTATTGACTATTAGATTTTGGTTTTAATATTATATATCATTTTAAAAATTATTATTAAATCAATCGATAATGAAATCAATTTGATTTTAATTCAATCTGTTTGTTTCAGTTTAAGTAATTATTAAAAAAATTATATTTTAATTCTCAATTATTATTGATTCACAAATATATCAATACTCGATTTTATAATATCATTTAAATCATCTTAATTTATTTGAGTGGTACAATCCGATCTAGTAACATCAAAAATATATATAATATATACTTCAATATACATCAATTAGTATTTTCTATTTAGAAAAAAATATTATTTGTTTTTTTATTTATTTATTTTGTATAAAGATACTTTCATACTTTACCAGAATTAAATGATAAGAATCATATTTTTCAAAAGTGTGAATATTTTTTTATTAAAACATTTATTTTGTCTTTTAATGCTAATAATTGTATGTCCCCGTGATTTTCTAAGTTTTATATAAAAAAAGTTTACTAAGTTTAATTGTATAATTTTTTTTACTAAGTTTAATATTTTTCAAATAAAGTATATATATATCGTTGAGTTATATACAAATGATCATTTTCGTCAATAAAGTTTAAAAAATTATAAAATACTTATTAAATTTATCAAAAGATTAGAAAATTATTAATAAATTTATCTAAATACTATAAAATAATTATTATATTATCGAACTTTTATAATTTATTACAACATTATAGTGACTATTTTGTAATAATTCATTAAATTTAATGACTTTTTATAGTTTTTAAAAAATTAATAGCAAAAATGGTTCTTTGAAGAGGTCAGAAGAGCTTTGAAGACATAAGTCCACGTCTGCGCCAAGAAGAGGGCGTGCAGGCGTTAGAAGAGCTTCTATCTTCTAAAAAACAAACGGTCTGCGAAGCCCAATGTCTGTTCGTGATCTGCACGGCACAGACATAAGAGCTTTTAAGACATTAAACAGTAAAAACAAACACCACCTAAGTATCGTATAGTAGTAAAATTTACTTGAACTCAGTAATTAATTGTGTTCATTATTTATGGATGCGACTTTCACATAAAATTTAAATTTGAATAGAGATAAATTAAAGGAGGACAAATAAAAACATCAATTTAAAGTTATAAAACAATTAATTTTATATAATACTCAAACAATTACTATACATTCAAAGTACTAAATTAGACAATCAAATATTCAAACAATCATTAACACTAAAAGTATTAATTTTAGGGTTAATATGTATGAACATGAAATTCTAACATAAATTATGGTTAATTATTTTAAAATTAGAGCAAGGCGAAATCCAAAATCTTACAATAACAGGCTTATGGCCCATTATTTGGTTCCTCCAGGCTTAATGAATTTCAGCTTATGCGATGAAAGCCCAACGATCAATTGAAGACTTTAGCCGTCCAGCTCCAGCCAAAAAAAATACGCGGCAAAGAGAATAGAATTAGCGATGGACATTAGTCAGGTTGGATCGAGTTTTTGGTTTATCCGACCCGACCTAAGAACAAGGGAGTTTCCACCCAAGATTCGACCCGACCTGATCAAAACAAGGTTTCATTCGACCCGAATATATGACTTAGAAATCCCACCCGATCTTACCCGAAATGATAAAAAAATATTTTTATTCAATAAAAACAATGACTTAATTGAAAAAAAAAATTATATATAGAGAGATTATTGTAATCATTCTTAAATATATAAGGTAAAATTATATTTTTTTCGGGTCAGGTCAAATATTTTTCACTCTAAACCCAATCCGAATTTCATACTTAAAAAAATCCGACTCAATCCAAACCTAATTCTTTTTTAAAAAAATTCGATCCGATCGAGACGAAACCTTCGGGTTCAAGTTGAGAGCCCATCCCTAAATAGAATATCTTGGATGCTAAACATTACAAAATCCAAAGAAAAAACACAAACCCTCGGCAGTTCCACCAAACTCACCCTCTTGTTTCGGTTCCTTGTCTCTTTCGAAGAAAAATGAAGGCGTCATTGAAAGGCAGATACACTAATGACAAGAGCACCGCCGCCGTTACCCTTTTCGTCAACGCCGGCGATGCCAAGCTCCGCGCCTCTATGACTGATGCCACTGTCGTCAAGGGTCCCAGCCTGAACGGTTTGACTCTTGCCGTTGAGAAACCCGGCTTCTTCATCATCGACTATGACGTCCCCAAAAAGGCACGCTTAACTTAAAAATACCAAAGTTTCTTTGACTAAGCCTTTAATTAATTTATCATTGACGTATTTATTTACTTGAATTTTGTATATTTGGTACAGGATTTCCGGTTTCAGTTTATGAATTCAGTTAGGGTTGCGGAGAAGCCGTTGAAGCTGACTTATATTCACAGCAGAGGGGACAATCGGACCGTGGTGGACGGGTCCCTGGCTTTTGATTCTGCTAACAAGCTGTCGGCTAATTATATGCTTGGTACGAGGAACTGTAAGCTCAAGTACAGCTACGTGCACGGAGGGGCTACAACTCTGGAGCCATGTTATGATTTTGGGAAGAATGCGTGGGATTTTGCGATTTCGAGAAGACTGTATGACGATGTATTTAAGGCAACGTATCTGACATTGAGCAAGGATTTGGCCTTGGAGTGGTCGAGAAATTCTAAGTTCAATGGGACTTTTAAGGTAACTGATACTATCTACATTGTTCCTTCTTTATTTTTTTCTTTGTTTTTTTTTATCGATTTGTTCGTGTTTACGTTTCATGGTGTAGTCTTAAATCTGCAGTTTGGATCCTGAAATTGATTTTCAATCCGATTTAACTAAACTATTTAATTATGGAACTTGGAAAAAGTGACCGATGTGGTTGCAAATCATAAATTATAATGACAGAAGTAAATTAAGGTTTCACAGACAATGGCTACAGGTTTTCAATCTCAAATGCTGAGAAGAGCTTGAAGCAATCAAGACTTTGGATTGCTTGATTAGTTTGCTTATATCCTTCTTGGATTTACATGCCATTATATTTGTTTAAGGGAAGCTTTTATCGAATGACATTGGTGTTTAGATTAAGATATAAATTCTGAACTTAGGTCATGCTTTTGAAGCATTACGGTGGTGATTTATTGGGTGGGAGGCTACTCTTGCTCATGCAATCTTTATATGATCAAGTGAAGAGTTTCTTTTCTTGGCCTGGGAGTTTCTAGATGTATACACTGTGGTAAGGAGTGGATTTTATCGAAGAGAGGGTCATCCTGTATTGAGATATATGAGGATGCTCTCCTCTGATGGGCGAAAAAATTCCGACTAAGGCTCATTTCTTTGATTGGAATGCAACCTATAAACAGAACTTACTATTTGTAATGACCCAAAACAAGGCAAAGTTCTTAGTTTGGAATCAATTCATAGTCTTCTTGCATTGTCAGATAGCCTTGGTGGAAACAGATTGATCCCTCTGTTGGTTTTGAGCAATTTAGGAGATGGGTAACCCATCTTGAAAGCTCTTAGACACTGTGTTCTGGGAAAAAAAATGAGCAGAACACCCATTATGCATCTAATACTGAAACTTGAGAGTATTGTTTGCATGATGCGATGAATATTACTAATAGTGGATTTTGGGGGTATATTACCGGGAATGTCATTACCTACCTTCCTTAGGTATTATTGGATTACCGACGATTTGGACTAAAATGTCTTTAAAAAAAATTTCTTTCAAAAATATTTTATTTTCTGTCATTGAATAATAAAATTCTACGAAGGTTAAATTACAAATTATTCTTAAACTATTTTAGATTTACAAAAAAAATCTATAATTAAATTTATATGAAGTTCAGGTGATAAATAAATTTTAGGTGATAAAATAAATTTTACCCTTTATTAATATTTTTATATTTTTAATTTGTAAAAAAAATTATATAAATTTTATGAATTTAAATTTTTTAAAGAAAATATAAATATTTTCTAACTTGTTAAAAAAAACAAATATATAATAAGAACAATTTGATCAATATACATTCTAATAATCTTTTATTTCTTTAATCAAACATGGTAATTTTACATTCCTGTTAACCAACCAAACACAAATACAACATTCCTAGTAATCCTATTCCTGATAATCTTTTTTCTCACCGATAATCTTACATTTCGTGAAACAAACGCATCCTTAATACCATTTGTCGGTCATGACTTCTTGCTTTGTATTGTAGGATATAATAATTTCTAACCATGTTTGCTTTTTATTCAACAGATTTCAGCATCCGTCAACCTGGCTGAAGTAACTAAGATCCAAAGATTATTGCGGAGAGTTCTTGGGATTTGGAACTGTGATGTTGTTCATCAATTGTTTATTTGCTTGTTTGAATCATACATTTGGACAAAACAGCTTAATGTAAGCTCAAAACATAATGGTGTTACTTTTACCAAACTTTTTATTTGATCAAATTGAATACCAGATCGCCATTCTTGCAAGGCCTTGGATTTTCGAGACTTCGTTTTCCTCTTTTATGATGATATAATGCAGCTCATATCCTACAAATCCAAAGAGATAAAGGAACATAACTTCTTATTTGGAGACTCTTTCGTTTCTGTTTTTATGTCAAGGCTGAAGAAGGAAGAATGCAGGATATTTGAGAAGCATATTAAATTTTTAGCTTCCATACAGTACAAAAACTCCCATTTTCAATTTGTTTGAAGATTGTAAAACTGATTTTGTTCTTACGATAGACCTTATTCTGTTTGAAGAAAGCGATGGAAAGCGAAGCCATATGTCTGGCAACTCACATAATTACATATAATACGATATTTTCTGTGATGTTATCATCCGTACTGCAAACAGTAGGTTGCCATGGTTTTTGCTGCCATTTCATTTTCTGACATTAATTGCAGATCCAAATGGAAAAGTCGATCAACAAGTTTGCATCAGCCAAGTTTTACAACTCACAAATGAAACCCATAACTCGTTTTATGTTTAAGAAGTAACATTGATTTGAAGTTTGAATGTTAATATCTTTCTCTTTCATTAGGTTGCACCTTTCTTACGTACTGAAAAAGAAGCCAGTGCTTAACCTACCAAGAAGGAACTCGTTTTTTACTAACCACCGAGATGAACACATTTCAATTTTCAAGGAGGCCTAGAACTATAGGTAATTAATAATAGGGTCAAAGTCAAACTTACTCTAAAGGGGTTTTTCTTAAAACCTACGTGTCGTGCTATAGTTTGGGTTTCAATTTTTAGTACAGGTGAGATAAATTGACTGAATCATTTTCCCTTTTTTATGCTTGGGAAAATCCGAATTCCTTGCCCTAACTCGTAACAAATCCACGTAAAAAAACGTTACAACTGTTTGTGTGTCCGCTCACCATCTCCCAACATCAGATTAATCGAATCTAACGTAGATTCCAGCAGAAATTCTCCGAACCCCACATTCAGACAGGATTTGATTTGTGTAATGGCAAAACATTGAATCAACGAAGTCTTGAAGCCCCCCCTCGAAATTGACAACTTCAATCAAAGGCAGACAAGTTTTTTCTCTCTTTTTCTTATCATTTTCACTTCTCCACCGCTTTCTATAGCTTTTGTGGACTCCAGTCACTACAGTAAAATGGGGTTTTAGCGGTATATTTAACGGCGTTTTATGAGAAAACGCCGAAAAATAATGTACTTTAGTGGAGTTTTTATACAAACGCCGCTAAAGGTCGTACTTTAGTGGCGTTTTAAGCACAAACGCCGCTAATTCCATGTACTTCAGTGGCGTTTAACGTACAAACGCCACTACTTACACGCACTATAGTGGCGTTTTTATATAAACGCCAATAAATATTGTACATACGTGGCGTTTTATACAAACGCCGCTAATTACAAGTACATACGTGGCGTTTTATGCATAAACGCCGATAAATACTATATTTTAGTGGCGTTTTTATACAAACGCCGCTAAAGGACGTACTTTAATGGCGTTTTAAGTACAAACGCCGCTAATTACACGTTCTTTAGTGGCGTTTTATGCAAAAATGCCGCTAATTACACGTACTCTAGTTGCATTTTTATATAAACACCGAGAAATATTATACTTTAATGGCGTTGCAAGCACAAACGCCGCTAATTACACGTATTTTTGTGGCATTTTACACACAAACGCCGCAATTACACGTACTTTAGTGGCATTTTTAACATAAACGCCGCTAAAGGTAGTCTTGATCCATTCAAAATGTTGTGTTTTGGGAACTTTTGTTCTTACCTTCTGCTTTACCCAAAACGCAGCACGCAAGCCTCGACCATCAGCGTAGCATCTCGTTCATTCAACTCTCATTTCACCCAAATCTCCAAACCCTAGCCCCGCACAGCCACCATAGCCCAAAATCCACCATCAACGTAGCATCTCGCTGCCGTCGTACTATTCTGTTCGTCAACCGCCGTCGTACCCAATGTTATTAGGGTGTGTTGGAATCTAAATTCAAGATATTTTATGGTTTTTCTGCTATTTTGCGATTTCTTCATTGTCGTGCTTTATTAAATTGTTTGAGAATTTGGAACCGTATGAGCCCTTTCCGAGGTAATTACTGAAAACTGGAATTCAAATGAATGTGAGATGTTCTTTTTCAAGTATTGAATATTAGGTCTCCTATAGTTTTCTAGAGCTGTAGCAAATAAAGAACAGCAGATTGTTTCTTTTGAAGGTGTCTGATTTGTTAATTTGAGGTATCAACGTTGTGTGATGGAGGTACATTTGATCTTTCCTTTTAGTTCGTTGCTCCTGTATGTTTAAGTAGTGAATAGTGATCTTTAATTCTTTTTCCAACTTTTTTCTGCATAATTGATATAATCCGATGATTTATGGGTGAAGGGAGTGCTTTCGTGTACTGCTTAAGAAATCAAATGGTATAAATTTCTTTAGCTAGAACGATGAACACATCAAAGTAATTGCATTTTCATTCACTTGGTAGGGTATCGGATTTATGAGGAACATAAGAATGATATACTCCATCAACCAGTTCACCTTATCTTTGATCTAAGCCGTTTGCAATTAATTTAGGCCATATAACTACCGAGTTTACCTTATCAGAATTTAAAAGCATGGTAGTTTGCTCAGAAAACTTTGTATAGCAGACATTCTTTTTATTATTATTCTTGGTCTATTCAGATGTTGAAGATTTTTCAATTCCTCTATGAGCTTTTCATTATCACTCCCATCTAGAACATTGTCTTCCTCGAGATAAACTCCACTTGGTAGATTCCCCAACCTGAATATTTGCAACTTGAAAAAACTAGATATCAAATTTCTGTGGGATTCTTCTGAGATCAAGGGACTATTTCTATAATCAAGGGACTATTTCTATAATCAAGCAGTTCATTTAGTGGGAGTCATTATTTTTCCCTTTTAAATGTTATACTTCGTCCCTAAATAAACCTTTTACATTCGGTAGAAGTGTATTCATCATGTTTTAGTACATAAGTTAGCAACAAACTTTCATTTGATAATTTTGTATTTTATTATTGAAATTGTTTTCGATTAGTTTGTAGCTTAAATTTAATACATTATACATGGGGGGTTTTTTCCGATCTAAATTTAGGAATTTCAAAAACTCGTGATAGGTAATCGTGAAGCATCTCACCGCCGTCGTACTCTTCCGGTCGTCAACTGTCAACTACTTGCAGGTATGCTTTCTTGTCCATCGCACCCTACTTTCAATAGACCATGTTGTTGTGGTTGGGTTTTTTTTAATTGTGAATGTTGGGAGTTTTGTGAAACCAGATTTGAACGAAGAGAATAAACAAATATTGATTTTTTTGTTTTCTTTTTGCTCTTTATGAGTTTTAGAGTAACACATTTTTCTCTTATTTCTTATTTTTCTTCTTTTGTATCATCAACTTATGAGTGATCAAAGATCTAATAAACTCATCAAGAGATAAATATACTCTTTATTTCAATAATTACCATTTTCTTAGTTTGCCAAAATTTTAGTAAGTTATGGAGCATCTTCTTTATAGTTTTTTAATAGAGATTGATTTCTCGTATCCTTTGAGAGCATTGATAATGATAGAGAATTTATGACATAATATATATCTTAATCTAGCTTCATCTTTAAAATTTTATAGTTGAGAGTTAGAACTTAGAAGATTAATCTTTGTTTCCTTTACACTAATGGTACTCTTATAAGTGACCTCTAATTTATCATATATCTTTTTGGCACTTAATTAGCTCTAATTATTAATGTATTTTAGGGTCAAAGGATTATGAGAGAAATCAGTGTCATTCAAAGAAAGGTCAGTACATAAACATACAAAATAACAGTCAAAAAGGAGGAATTAAAAAGATACTAAATAACAGACATAAGATTGTTTTGATGCATGCATTGTAGGAAGTTGAATTGATGAAAGAAAATGAACGATTGAAGCAACAAGTATGACTTTTCCTTCTCGTACATAATACTTTTCATTCTCACTTGTTATACATCAGGCCATTCACAGTGGTATGTACTTTCCTTGTATTACATATCTCATTTATTTATTTTCTTCTGTTAGGGGTTAGAAAGCATGTACAGTTTGGCACAGAAAAACATTCAATTGAAACCAATGGCCTCTGCACATAAGTTGATGAGGCTTATAATTGAAATTCTTGGGGGAAATACAGAGGTGACAAATGGGGATAAAATATTAATTTACAATCTCCGTTAAATTCTCTTTTTGCTTCCTTATCTTTAAGTTAGATTGTGCTTTTGTCTGTTCTCAGGTTGTTTTAGCAGAATGGTTGAAAGGATTTGGTCCTTGGTAAGCTGTCATATTTCCATCTTTATATCTTTCTGTTTGTTAGGAATGCAGTTTTGGAGCCTTTTTCTGGGTGCTATTGATTTAAAATATGTTTGGTTCGATAAGCTGTTAGAAGTTATCATGAAATTCAAGCTTGGATGTTTCTGCACAATTATTAAGATCTATCTCTATATTTTGCTTATCATCATGATGGTTGCCCATGCCATAGAGTTGTTGACTGCTGGGACTAACCGTGTAGAAATTTGTTGTTAACTTTTTTAATGTAAGATATAATGGATTTTCATATAAACTGATGATTTATTTGGATATGAAACTAGAGATCGGGTTTGCATTGCCATGGATGGGGCCTTTTCAAGTGGCATGCCAATTGGAGTAAGACCTCATGAAGCAAAATATCTGTGCAAGAAATGACAGGACGATACTAGCTCTGTATCATTATTTTCCCATATAAACTGGATTTATCTCTTTGAATTTAAGCGCCTCATTGTGACGAAGAATTTTGAAGAATGTGTAAGATTATAAGCAAAATATCTTAGATATTATTGTTTTATTATAGTTAATAATGTTGAACTACATTATATTTTACGTTAATGTAAACTTTGATTTATTATTATGGATTTTATTTTTCTTGTTATGGATTTTAAGTTTGTTGTTAT